CAGCAAGGGCTGAGGGCTGCTTGCCCCTCCCCTCTCCATGCTGAAATGCTGATTAGCTTGATCTTATTGGGACTTTGCAGGCAACCAGAGCTGCTGGAGTACAGTGATTCTTGTCATGTTCAGGAGACACCCAGTTCTCCCTGACCTCTGGCTCTTACAATCTTCCCGCCTCCTCTTCCGCAATGTTCCCTGAGCCATGGTGGGAGTGGGTGTGACACTGATGTCTCGTTCGTAGCCAAACACTCCACTGACAGTTGTTCTGGGGACGGAGAGCTGACCTGGGTAGAGAGAGGGCTTTAGAAGGCCATCTGATATTCTATCCATTTAGCAGAATCGCAATGGTGGGGGTGGGAGCTAACTAGGGGAGGTTTAAGCGGAAAGAGGGGGAAGGATAAGGGAGGTTTGGAGGGAAGATAACACTAGGGATATTGAACAAGTCATATGGCTTTCTAAATTACACACACACACACACACACACACACACACCAGTTTAAATGAAGTTACTCCACATGGAAAATAATGCTTCTTTCAGAAGCCAGAATTTGCCAAATAAAAAGCCCACCCAGTGCCAGGTTTTGGGTACCTTCACTAAAACTGTCAGTCAAAGGGTCCCAAAGATGTCCCCCAAACAATACAGGTTATTACTACAGTTCTTGGTGGCCCAAAACCTTGATAATAAAAACCTCACTACTGAAGACACCACACACTTGGCCACAGAATCTGAAGAAGTCAAGCTGGTACTGAACTGGAAGTCCCTCCTGGATGGCTGGCTTTCACAGTGTTGAGAGCTGCAACGGGGCTGCTGAGAAATGTCATAGTCAGCCTCCACTGCCAACATGAGTCACCTGGGAAAGGCCTCAAACAGACTGGCCTCTGGTCATTTCTCAATTGTTCACTGGTGTCGATGGTATCGATCCCACCATATACACTATCTGAAGGCTACCAGGTAGGCCTGCACTATATAAGAAAGGCAACTCATCTTGAGCTTGGGGGCAAGTCAGCAGGCAGTATTTCTCCATGGTCTCTGCTTCAGTTTCTGCCCCAAGTTCCTGCCTTAGCGTCCCTTGATAATGGACGATGAGATGAAATAGGGAAGTTGCTTTTGGTCTGTGTTTTATCACAGCAAGAGAAGCAAACCAGAATGGAAAGAAAGTCATAAAAAGTTCTACTCAGCTATGAACGCCAGGAGCTATCATAGTGACCAAGTTGACAATATAGGGCAATGGGTGTGGTAGTGGCATAGATATTAGGGAGATAACCAACCACTTTCTTATTAGATTCAAGGCCTGTTACACAGGAATAAATTCATACTTGATACTGTGTATCTGGTTAAGAATCTGAGGCTAGGGAGCTTGTAAGTCTAGAGACGAATCTACTTATTGTTAATTTTTTTAAATGTAGCACTGTGGGTGGTGCCACTTCCCAGAAATTAAGGTGGGAGCAATGGAGCAGGACCTAATGTCTAGCCCCTCTAGTAAAGACATCATCACAGTATATTAGTAACCCTAGGCTAAGGAACATTCGCAGAGATGCAGCTGGCCATGCCACACCTGCATAGAACATTCAAGTAGTTTCGAAGATCTGAGCTCAACAAGAGCAAAAACAGTGCCTCCAACATCACTGAGGCAGACCATATAAAAACATTACACCACCCAAACATCATCAAACTTTTCCACAGCATTGATATATCATCAAACATATTTGTCATCATGGGACACGTGGCAGGAAGAGCTCTGGTGAGCCTCGTAGAGGCCTTTGGCTGTACACATGAGGAAGAGACAGTTCCCATTTTCTGTGCTGGCAACTCATACCTCTATCAAAGCAAAATAGCACACAAAAACATTTAACTGAAGAACATTCTTGTAGCTGAGGCAGCGTCAAACTCTGCGACTTTAGACTGGCCACAAAAGCCATGTCTGAAAAGAGGCTGAGGAGGCCTGTGGCGCCCTTTGCTATAGAACCTTAGAGGTATTAGTGGGCAGATACTATGAGACTTGCCAATCACATGTAGAGCCTTGGTATAGTGCAATGGTAACAGGGAGCTTACCCTACTAAGCACCAACCCTCTCAGGGATGCTCCAGATGATCATGACCACAAAGTGATATCCTAGTTAGCCACTCGAAAAGAAAAAAAAAAAAAACATCATAAACATCACTGTGTACCTACTCAGTGTCAATCCCGGATACCAGATGACTATAGACTAGTTCACGGGGCACCCGTGCTCTGCTGGCTGTAGCCCTTGCATACCATTCTCACAGGATGGTGCTGCAGGTGCCAACTGAGGCATTAGTATTTTTGGCACCAGTGAAGTCAGCATGATATCCTGTGCTGCCCATCCTCCCTGGAGTCATGCCATGGTGTGACAACAACAGAGACAGTGTGCAAACCATAGGTATAGCCCTCCTAGGACATCACCAGGAGTCAGACCCGTGTTACACTTCAGCTTTCAAGACCAACAAATGCAACACCTAGAAGCTAAAATCAGGTGAGGAGTCAAACTGTTAACGACCAAGAACACAACACTGCTGCCTGTCAACCCCAAGCAGGAGTCAGGAATCCCAAAGTTAAGAGGCTACAATGAAGGGAGAGGACAGTGGGGCACCACAGCAAACCCTGTAGGCATAGCTGCCAAGATGGATGCACCTCTGCATTTTGTCTTTGCTTCTTGAACACCCTTTGCAAATAAAGCATCCCAACTCGTTCTGGGGAATGCAACTTGATATCTGTCACCTTAGAAGGACCAATCCTGCAGCATTACTCATGTGTGGGAACCTGGAAAAGCTGAGCCAGAAGCAGACAGCAGAAGATGCAACCAGAGGCTGGAGAGGGAGGAGGAGGGGCTGGCAAAGGATCACAGGTTCTGAAGGAGGAGTCAGGAAGAGAGCTACAATTCAGTTGAACTACTCAGTGCTAATCAGCCCTGATTGTGTCAAGAGTCACTAATAGAGACTTTTCCATGTATCTCCGCTTTGAAGAGGTAAAACAGAAAAGAGACAGGAGATGGCCACTTCACAGAGAGGGGGAGCTAGACACAGACTCACAGATTCTGAAGGACAGAACACATTTGGTCAGAGTACTGTGTGACTGCTGAGTCAGGCCTTTTAGCCACAGTTCCTGGTGTGGCCACAGGCTGGGTCCATATGGAAGCATGTTTTTAGTGTCTTCACCACACATCTGTTGCGCAAGTGTGGAGAGGTCGAGTGTAGGAGGAAAGAGAGTCCTGGTACAAGCACTGCTGCTACAGAGCTGTTTCTGGCTAGATGCTGCCAGAGTCAGGTGTCAGGATGGCACCAGAGCCAGAGTCAGGTGTCAGGATGGCACCAGAGCCAGAGTCTATTGTCAGGATGGCACCAGAGCCAAGACCAAGTTGAAGAATGAGGCAAGTCCTTCTGGTGTCTACACAAAGGAAAGAGCTAAGAGCTGTACCTGTCCCTTTCTCAACACCAGAAACAAACTTGCTGTTCTCTGCAGGGGCTGTAGGCCATAGCCTGCGGAATGCGGGGTTTGGGGGCCAGCTTGTCCACGTGCCTGGAATGTCCTTCCTTTGTAGCTGCTTATCCACATCTTGTACCATGTAGCCAGGGGTTCCTTGACATGGATGCCTGCACTGACAAGTCATGATAGTGATGGCACAGAGAGACATCCTGGACTTCTCAATGAAGACACTAATGTGCGATTTCCTGGGGCTCTGGAACTCAGTCCAGGAGCCCATTCTATAAGACAGAACAATTTCTTCTCCATCAGGCTTCTGAGGTCTGTGGGCTCCAAGGATATCCCTTAAGGAGTTACCACAGTTGGGGAGGCTGACTATCGAACACCACCGCACTTGGTCCCTGTTTAGTTTTCATTGTGTAAAAAGGTCACCCCAGGCCTCTTTTCCCTCACAAATGTCCCAGAAAGTCTTCCTGAGCAGATAAAGATAATGTCCCAGCAGAGGCAGGAGAAGGGGATGTACGGTGCTCACCATCTGAGGAGTGTCACCTATCCCTGCAACCTGTCCCAGGTGACTGTCATTGTGAAATGAGGAACTCGAGATCCTCCAGGTGAGACAGCTCTTTCTTGTTTGCTCTGATGGAGGGAGCCACAGCCAGGTGAGGTGGCACTTGGGATCTGATTCTGAACAAATGTAAAAATCACAGTTGTGTTGTCGTTGCTGCTGCTGCTGCTGCTGCTGCTGCTGCTGCTGCTGCTGCTGCTGCTGCTGCTGGATACAGCTACAAGAGCCCTGGTAGCTACAAAGACCCTGGATTAAGCACCAAGGACTCTCATATTGGTGGCAGCAAAGCCAATATGAGATATAAAGAGAGGAAAGAGAATGACCACTTGCAGTGGGCCGGAAGAACAAGGTGGCATCTGAAAAGCAAGGGGACCCCATTCAGGGAGCTTCAGACATATTACGAGATGAGTAGGTCTGGAAAGGGAAGACACCGCACTGCTGCGCATCCTCAGTGAAGAGGGTCACTGCACTTCTGAGCATGTTCAGTGAAGAAGTTCACGGCATGCCTAAGCATGCTCAGGGAATACACTACATTCCTGAGCTTGCTCAGGTTTAGGTCACAGAGTTCATGCTTAAGTGATGGACAGCAATGTCTGTGGGCAGGGACAATTTGTACTGTAATACTGAAACTGAAAGCAAGAGAAGGGACACGTCAAAGGTGCCCTGGAAGGGTCCTGTCTCACCTCATGCCTAACAGTACCACAGTGGACACTGGGGCTCATGTTGCCCTCTCTAGGGCACAAAGCTCACAGGGATCTGTTCGGGCATGAGCAATCACTTCTACTAGATTTCATATTCAAAAGCCACCAATGAGCTGTATCCATATCACTCACTAGAAGTAGGAGCAAAATGCAGTTATGATATGCCAGAAAACACTGAATTAATATACAGTGACACAGTTTGTGTCCCTTCCGGTTTTCACACCTGGTCTCTTCATTCCTCGAAACATGTCTTCCAGGGATATAAGCATGGCCCCCACCCCCACCCCCACCCCACCTCTTTTGTAATGGCTTCCCTATGCCTTTGATCAAAACCTGTGAGAAGAGAGTCTGATGTTAACAGATGGTCCCTAGCCACAGCCGCAGGGCTCCAAACAAGGTCCTCATAGTCAGTGACAGACCAATGATGTTGCTCAAGTGTCAGGCTTCTTTCCCTGCAAGGACCAATTTCCACGCTTGGAGAGGACAGAGGTGTCCAGGTTACCTACTGTCCTCTGTAGGTAACTCTGTGTTCTCCAGGGTCCCTCCTGGCAGGACACTGTGTCCTTGTTGGCTCTGCCTGACAGACTTCAAACTTCTCCCTGGCAGCTGGATGTTTATGAACTAAATTTAAAATAAAAAAAAAGTAATCAATTGAAAAGCTATGATAGATTCCTGGCAAATTTAGTGCACAACACACCCAACAAGCTTCTCTTAGAGTAACAGCCCCCAAATGCTGAGGAAACCTTTCACCTTCTTGCAAAAATGTTCTCTGTCCTAATGGATAAAAACTATTGGAGTAGAAATGTGGAGTCTCCTTCAACTGCTCTGTGAGTGACAATGTCGCCTCTCTCTAAACTGTACTCACAGTCTATGACACTTCTTCTCACAGCTACCCATCCCTGAAGGTCTTTTCTGTCCCAGTGTCTTCCCAGAATCCCCATGAGAAATGGCTATAGGCTGGGTCTCGAGGCACTATCTAAAATGCATGAGAGAAGATGTGGACTCAATCCACAGACCTGTGTGGATGCATGCTGTGTGCTAGGTGTGGCACGGTGTGGGTCCTAGCCAGGCTACAGTAGTCAAGATTTCTCACGGCAGAAATATGGGGGGTAAGAGACCAGGAAAAGGTGAGGGTGCAGCTCAGAGGCAGGGCACATACTGAGCATGCTCAGCCCGTAGGCAAAGCACATGTCTAGAGGAGCGTCCTGCGAGTAATAGGAAGATAGTTTTGTCACCTCTTCTCTGGTGTTGGTCATCAGGTGCAAGCCTTGTGTGCACATCCTGCCCTTTGACCTAGACCCTGGTCCACATTCCATGTCTGAGGCTTGTTTGGTGACATTCTGCCCAAACTGGTCTTGAATTCTCAGACACAAGCAATCCTCCTGCCTCATCCTCCCACATACATACCATGGCTCCCAAGCGACAGCTCTTCCTTTTAACAGGAAATTTATGAGCCTCATTTCTTAAAATATTTTCTTTTCATTTCCCCTGTGGGATTTTTCTTTTTTCTTCTTTTGCAGCACCGGGAATCAAAGCTGGGCCTCTCCCAATCTAGAAACATGCTCTCACACAAACCCACACACCCAGCTGACCCTATGCCACTGTGAGACTTAGTAATGGAGCAGAGTAGGGAGCCATGGTGAACAGGGAGTGTTCTGTCTCTGAACTGCTTGGGTTGGGAAGGCCTTCTAAGCCTCCAAAGCCTCTCATAGCCTGGCCCCTGAGGCTAGACATGAGGTGGAAGGAACCATTCTGAGTGCCGGAAGCAGAGAACTGAGTCATACAGCAGTCCCAGGACAAAGGCTACAATGCCTGAAGCAGTAGGAGATGATTCAGTTTCTGCCAGACTAGCTCATGGAAGCCATTAAGGACACTGGCTATCACAGGCTGAGGTCCCCACAGCTATCAGGAACTGGAAGAAGACAAAGAGGGGACAGACATTACTGACAGAATGAGGGATAAGAAAGACAATGTTCCATGCCCAGCCACCAGGCCATAAAAAATAAAAGACTGTGTTTACCGGAGGGTGGAAAGAGGTTGGTACAGTGGGGCTCTCGGGACTAGGCTGGGGCTCTGATGGCTTTGCTGAGTCCAGTGGTGGGAAGTGGTACTTACATGGTAAGAGAAGTCCTGAGAAAATGAATGATTCCACCCAGGGAAATGGGGTTTAAAAGTGCAAAAACAGCGAAGAAGGGAGGAGAGAAGGACAAGGGCCTGTCCAGGTCACTCAAAGTCAAATGTGGCAAGAACTATGTCAAGTGGTTCCTAAGGAACAGTCCACAGAATGTCAAGTGCATCTGACTAGCAAGACTGAGCTAAGGATATGTGACTTTAGAAATGCAGATGAAAACAGTGTAACCTTGATCTGGGTATATAGGCAGGTCTCCCTACTCCCAAGTATGTGGTTTAAAGAATGCTAGGGGTGGGCATTGTTCTGGGCAAGAAACAGAATTCCTGGTATGTAAGGAGCCGTCCGGATATCGCCATTACAATATGGCACTGGTGGTCCTGCAGCTTGGAGGTAAACAAATCCTTCTTTGGCAGTGCTGCCTGGGGCTGAGCGCCCTTTGCTTGTACATGCGCAAATGAGCCTTGTTCCCTAGCCAATCCCGAAGCCCCGGGCTTCAGTGGAATGGTATTCACCAATCAGGACAGTATCCGACCCCCTCCACCCTAGAAAAGCAACTGCCGCTTGGCTTTCGCTCTCTCTCGCTTCCTGCTCTCCCTTCAACCAAGAGGCTCCAATAAAGTGTGATCAGAGAAGAATCCTCGATTCGTGGTCGTTCTTCCTTGCTGGTCAAGGAGCGTGCCACACTGGTAGGCATCTTACCTGCCCAATAATGGGGTGGCCCAGGCCATATCACCCTACTCTCTAAGAGTCAGACAGGTACAACTTCCAGAGTCAAAGGCAAAGCAGTCAGCCTGTATTCCAGAAGCACCATGAGGGAGGTCAGTGCTGTTCCAGCTTACCTTTCCGAGTGGGCAGTGGGTTGTCTGTCCATGGAATTACTCCAAACTTTGGTCCCTTGGAGCCAGATCTTCCACTTCACCTGGGAAGAAGTGCACATGCAGGGTTTAGCTTCCCACAGGGGCAAAGACAGCTGTACAAGCAAGTCTGCCGGCATCCAGAATTCTCAGAGGAAGGACAAGATGGGGCATAGGAGTAGACGCCGAGTCTCGAACAGTGCTTTCTCAACCTCCGGGTCATGACCCCTTTGGGTAGAACCACGCTTTCACAGATGTCACCCACGACTATCAGAAAACAAAGATATTTGCATTATGATTCACAGCAGTAGAAAATTAGTTATGAGGTGGCAACAAAATAACTGATAAAGCGGAGCAGCACTGGGAAGGCTGAGAACCACGGTGCTAGAAGAAGCAGAGGCAGAGAGCACTATGCAACCTCTACCCAAATTTTACAAATCAGATTTTGTGCCCTTATAATAGTAGTTTTTATTTTAATATCCCTACATACACTGTACTCAATATAAGGGGTCCTTCCAGGTCTCAGTCTTCAAAGGAGACATGTTGGTTCACAGCTATTAAGACAGTTAACCTACCTAATCTAATACCTAGTAGTACTTACTCAACATAAAAGGGGCACGCGGCAGTAGAAACACACGATCTGCCAGCTTTCGATTGCGACATTCCGACGAGGGTGTTCTAGCCCACAACTATCCCACAGCAGAGTCAGCAGCAACTTGACTGCCAAATGATTCTCAGGGAGATTGACCTCAATGAAGACTCAGCACATCTCATTGCCTGTCAAAGAAATATCACAGTACTGTGACTGCCACCACTAATCACACAGACAGCACAGCATGACAGAGACATACAGCACAGCTATCTCTCCACCACACCCAGGCATTTTGACACGAACAGCCCAGCAACACAGGGGCTGAAGGTACATCTACATGACTAAGATACAGACAACTCCATCTGCAAACAGAATAACCCAAAATCAGCATTGAAGAAAACTGGTTGGACCTAAAGAATTAACTAACACAATATAGAGGAACGCAGTAGCTTATGATCAATAGCCTGATGATCCAACAACAATTCACACAGATTTTCAACACATGCCAATTCATTGTTGCCTGATACTGTTTACAAAACCATCTGATCAAATATATTTTATACATGAATGCAAGTATACACACATGGGGGGATTCCAGTAAACTGTAAGATATCCTATGGAGAGAGGGAGACAAGCCTTGGCTTTTATATCATATAACACTATCAGCAGGACAAATTTCAATCTACCAACCTAATGCCACTGAACACAGAACTGGGAAGAGATGAGAATCACCTGCTACCAAAGCCAGCTACTGCACATACACATCCTTTCCCCATAAATATGGCACACAGTCCACCTGCTCCCATGTAACAGCCTCTACCCCAACCACCAAGTCACAGCACACATTTCTAGAACTTACACACCTCATAGACTGTGAACACAAGCATATACCTACTATCCACATCCTGAACACATGGATATGTCATTTGTTACTGCCTGACTTCTAGAGGAAAAAACAAAACACCTACTTTCTCTGGGTTATGTATATGCCCCTGCTATAACTATGCACACACAAGCAACAAGTGCCTTTTACATATACAGGAAAGACGGTTCATGTAAACACAATAGGAGCCCAATAGACGTAGACTACAAACTACTGACTACACACAATTTTCTCATGTATCGCCCTGAAATGCATCCACAGGAAATTAGCAGTTTCCAGTAAATGTACTCCACAATTCCTGAATATACCTCAACCTCCACAGCCTATCTAACTTCAATCACCAACAAGGAAGCAGCCATATCTACCATAAAACACCTGCATGAGACCCAAGAACTCAAATACATCTAAAGTTAAAAGAAAAAAAGGAGAAACAAACAAAACAATGTATACTTATCTAACACACAGGACTAAACACTAATAATGGGAACATAAAAATACAAGCAAAATCTTCAAAAATGCTACCTGAATAAACATAAAGGAGGACTACAGAGTCACCTATATACTTACAGAACCCAAATATGCTTTCACAAAATCTACGAATGGCTAGTCAAACACTCAGATACATACTCACAGGAAAAAACATTAATCTCTCATAAACAGAGCTCTGCCTGGGTTCCATGCCCAGTACCAAGAGGTAAAAGGATAGAGACACCCACATTGACAACCATACAAATGTCTGTACACTAATTTCTCTGTCTATATACATACTACTACCACACACACATACATGCAAACATTTCAACTACCTAAACATATATTTCTGTAGCACACTGTACCATATTTCACACCTAAAGAATACAGCCTCCCAAACTCATCCCCTAAATATACTCTTATAAACCTAGAAACACTGTATCATAAACCAAACCTAATATACTACTAATATACCTTACTCTATTTTTTGTGATACATAGTTCATGTACTTATCTAGATCTATACAACCACTTTAAATGTTCAACATAGAGGTGTTAGGATAGCATTCAAAAATCACCTGTCCCTATATCCAGACCCACAAACCCAGAAGAAGCCTCCTGTTTCACCAGAGGCCAAGCTGGTATCCAGAAACCCAGGTAAGACCCTTCCTGCAAACCAACACTCCTCCAGAGCCTGCCCAGCCCCCCACACACCGTCACCAAATCCCAGACAACTCCGGCAGAAGACCCCAGATCTACCAGAGGCCATACTGGTACCCAAAACCTCCGCGCCCCCCGCCCTGGACCCGCAGAGGTCATGCAGGCTCCAAAACCCCAGTAGAGACACCCTACTGGACCACAGGACTCACAAGTTACCAGAACCACGGGCTATTTAGGCCTGAAATCAGAGAGAAAACAGAAATGAAGGGATAAAATGCCCATACAACAAAAACAAACTTAGAAATCAGCACCTAAACCAACAATTATCCCAAACCCAGAGGCAAAGAAGCCAGTGAAAGAACACAATCAACAACAGCCAGGGCAATATGTCACCACCAGAGGCCAGCTATACTACTACAGCAAGCGCTGAACATTCCAACGCAGCTGAAACACAAGAAAACAATCTAAAAAAACACAACTTTTTGAAGATTATAGAAGTCCTTAAAGCCAGATGGTGGTGGTGCACACCTGTAACCACAGCACTCGGGAGGCAGAGGCAGGCGGATCTCTGTGAGTTTGAGGCCAGTCTGGTCTACAAGACTTTATGGGTGGAATGGGAGTGGGCAGGGTGGAGGAAAGGGTACCTGGAGAGATGATTGAAACTGGGCCAAGTAGAAACCTCGTACAATGGAAACTCCCAAGAACCTATGAGGGTGACCCTAGCTAAGATTCCTAGTAATGGGGGATACAGTGCCTGAACAGGCCATCTTCTGTAACCAGGCAAGGCTTCCCGTGGAGGGTTTGGGACATCAGCCCAGCATCTTCCACCTACAATTTGTCCTGCCTTCAAGATGTGCTGGGACAACTGTGGGAGTGACTAATCGATGACTGGTTCAGCTTGAGACCCATCCGTAAGAGGGAGCCCACACTTGACACTACCTGTGGTACCAGAGGCCAGAGAGCCTAGAGACCTAGGGTAGAACCAAACACAACGGGAAAACAAAGTCAATGACATGATTCCTAGTGACACTCTGCTATACTTGTAGACCTGAGCCTAGCACAGCCTTCATCAAAGAGGCTTCATCCAGCAACTGCTGGGAGCAGATGCAGAGACCCACAGTCAAACATTGAGAAGAGTTCAGGGAGTCCTGTGAAAGAAGGGAGGAAGGACTACAGGAGCCAGACGGGTCAAGGACACCGTAAGAAAACCCACAGAATCAACTAACCAGGGCTCATAGGGGCTCACAGAGACTGAACGGACAGCCAGGGAGCCTGCATGGGTCTGACCTAGGTCCTCTGCATATATTTTATAGTTGTGTGGTTTGGTGTTATTTGTGGACTCCTAGCAGTGGAAGAGGGGGCTGTCTCTGACCCTTTTGAAAGCTTATGGGATCTTATTCCTCCTACTGGGTTGCCTCATCCAGCCTTAATATGAGGGGAGGAGCCTAGTCTTATTGTAATTTGATATGACATGTTTGGTTGATGGAGCTGGTCTGAAAAGAAACAAAGGAGAAGTAGTTCTGGGGGAGAAAGAAGGTGGGGAGAGGGTGAGAGGAGAGGAGGAATGGGAGATTGTGGTTGGGATGTAATATATGAGAGAAAAATAAATTTAAAAAATAAATAAAAATGAAAAACACCTGCCAATACAGAATTATGATAGAAACCACTTCCTTCCTAGATCACCAATACTAACAAAGAACAGTATCATAAACTTTAATGCAGTAAATACATTTCCCACACTTGCATGTGAAACATACAATCTTACCTATCCATCAGATGCACACATCCTTTATATATCCTTTATATACACATATATATATCCTTTATATATACATATATATATATATATATACATACAATTACTCTCTAGTTACAGTATGTAGAGTCACATAAAACATTCACCCAAATTTTCATGACCCTTTAGTAAACATACTATCACCTAATACAAAATTCTGGCCACAAACAGAAAACATACTTACCCAGGAGGTATAGAAGAAATACAAAGTCCATATACATGTGGCCCCCTACAAGCACCAAACATCTATATAAATAAACAGAACACTACAAATATGTAACTATATCCTCCAGTATAGTCTCATACCTCCTGCAGAAATAAGACAACACACCATGAGTGTTCACAAGGACAACTCTATCTTCCAGATTTCGTGTCATATGAACTCCATATCTCAGATATATGCACCCATTCTATCAGCCCCTAATTGTTCACACTGACCTCACATGGTAGCACATACATAGACAAATCTGTAACCATCCATGACATCCCAAATACACAAACAATTTGCCTATATTTTCCAACAGTATTTACCCATTTGCACAATCACAGATACACAATCCATTTTTTAACACTGATCACATGCAATTATTTCTTGCCCAGCACACATATATATATATATATAAAATATATATATATTATATATATATATATATTCCAAATTCCATGATAAGCTAAAATACTCCAGCTTTCAAGGGAAAAAAAAGATAAAATAGTCCAAAATTACAAATACCTAACCCCAAGTCCAAGCATGTTATCTCACTAAATTTTACATGCTACCAAAATTCTTAAAAAGAAAATCTAAACACCATCATCCACAAGGAAATATACACATTAGATTCTTATCATTCAGTTTAAAACAATCTCAAACTAATTCAAACATTAGTCCCAATTTATGTCCTAAAAAGTACACTCTGAGTTGTCACATATACTCTGAGTTGTCACACTACCCAAGAAGCCAGCAAGCACAGTTTCACATTTACACAGGAGAATTCTCACCCCATGGTTCTCATGTCCTTTAAATCAAAGTCAAAGCACATACTTCCTCATATTCTCAAACACACCACACACACTTCATTACATAATAGATAAGTCATATATTAAGTCTTTGTTGCAACTTCCTTTTACCCATATGATTCTCACAATAATTTTCTTATTATTGCCACTATTATGTCCACAGGAAGATACAAGATAGAATGAAAAGACCTGGTACTCAGTTGTGCAAAATTACATCACTGTCCATTAATGGAGCATGGCTAATCTTTGCTTCTGTTTACATGGACAGTCTCCTAAGTACAAGGACGACTCACCATTTCCAATGACAGGAAATAAGCTTCCTGTGAGTGACACACTTTCAAAGTTCATACCATATTTACTCAATTTTCTGATACAGGTCAAAAGCCAGGCTACCTACAGAACCATGGGAGAAGCCCCAGTCCGGGTTCTCTCCTATGTCAGCGGTGTAAAAACTTCCCAGCTTCAGGCCCGTCTCAGGAGGGCACTGAAGTCGCCTAGCGCCACACCACCTGCAAGATACAAGAAACTAACAGCCAAGAGCAGCAAAAGCGGTGACTGCATACTTCTGAATGGAATGGGAGAAGAAGGTAGGCCCACGTTTCCTTTACCTTGCTTTCCCGTGATGGACCCCGCCATAATCATGGACTGAAGAAGGATGCCTCTGTGCTCACACCCCTCCACTCTGGTGCTGGGGTCTCCGGCTTGCACAGGCAGCCTCTGTGTACCTGCACCACCATTCTTAGCACTGGTGCTCACTCCCTGCATGCACGGGCTGGCGTGCATGGCTCTTCCTGAGCGGGAGAGCAATGGACGGACTCTGGGAGCCACTGGAAGAAGAGAAATACCCAAACACACCTCAGCCAAGAGCATGAAAATGTTTAGGTGGCAAAGGAGGCTCTGAAGCTCTGCAGAAAAGGAAAGACATCCAGTGCACTGGGAGCTTCCCCGGTAGTCACAGAACCTGTGTGGCCAGCCCTCTAAAAACCAGGGGTTACAGAAAAACTTTCCACTTATGCGTTTAGCAACCTCACCCAGAAAAAGTTGAAGAGGTCTGGCCTAAAGTCATCTCCTGCTGGCCACAATGTTTCAGATGATATTTGTCTCTTTTATGTTTTTCAAAATGCAGGATGTCCTCTCCCAGACATCTGAAAGTTCCATTAAGGAACACTTTCAGAAAAAAAAAATTAGACCCAGGAGATACTCTGAGACATGATTTGCCTAGATTCTGTTTCTAGAGTCCTCATCTAGCGGGTTAGTTCACCTACTTCACACTGCAAGCTCTGCCAATAAAGGTCGCTCTGCCAACAAATGTCCCTCACAAACACTCCCTATGGAATTTTTCATTATACCTTTGAGACTTTATAATCTGGGTCCCTCTAAACCTCTCTTCCTGTTCCAAACCTCTGCCACAGCTGGACACTACTGACTCCTACCAGGGAAGTGGGATTCTTGCCAGCAGCTTCTGCAGCAGCTCTCTGGAGTCTCAGTCCACGCCCCCTCCACCACCTCCCAGCAACCCTTCTTGTCATGACAAGATGTGACTACTATCTCCCAGCATCACACCACTGATGAAATGAGACACACTTACCAAAACAGAAACCAGACAAGCTTTCTTTAAAGGGGTGCTACAACCATACCCTCACACAGAAAGGCACCTGCCCCTTCAGTTATGGCGTTGTATGTCCCTAATAAACCATCGTTAGTGGAAATATCCCAAGTCACGCATGTGTTTAACACCCAAACTACCAAGCATTACAGCCTTGAATGGCCTGTCTTAACTATGCTCAGAACACACATTAGGGTGTAACTAGGAAAAATCATCTAGCAGTCTATGATAGAGTATCAAATATCTCACATTCCTAAAAGCTCAGGTGATTTTTTGGACATATGATTCAAGGACACAAGCACAATATGACATGTTAACAGCTCCCCACGGTACACAGGTACTGGATCTTTTATTCCCTGTGGCTAATAGAAACTGCTGTTCATTGCCCTGCCTCGTGCTGCTGCCATGAGGACATCCCCAGGCTGCAGTAATCCAGTTCTGCAACACACTTCCAGTCCAAAGCTAGTTGGCAATATAACCCGTACTCTACATCTCCAAAGAGCTACTTTAGGCAGGTGTTCTTTGACAGTATAACTCTCACAAAAAACAGCTTACTCAACCTCTTTTAGTTGATTCCACAGCATCCACCATGGTGACTGGAAGGGAATTTCTTCCCGCATGTTTACCTCATCAGTGTCACCCAGAGTGTAATCAGGATTAAAAAAATTACACCGCTAATCTGAATATAAAAAGTTATTTTCAGTAAAGGGATGCTTACTGCTAAAAGGGGAAAGGCGAGCTGAGACAACCTAGGGAGCAGCCGCAGAAATGCTCTTCATTCCTAGGGATGAGGAAAAGAGACTAAAGCAGACACCCAAGCAGACCGGCAAACTGCAGGCACTGTGGCCAACACCCGGTGAATCCACAGAGAAGCTGGGGTCATTTTCCAGAAGAGCCGAAGACTGCTAGACCAAGGCACCACTGGCAGCACTTCCTGGTTGTCTTGCAGAAGTTCATTTTTCTAGAAGCTTTCCTCTTTGCTGCTCACCTGGTAATAATGTGGAAACGCGAACATGCCCTGACGCAGAGAGGTCAGAGGTGGGATTTAGAACGAGAGCCAAGGGAGGAGAATTAAAGTCAGAATGTAGAAGTTTACCTTAAGAAACAAAGGGGTGGTGGATATGAACTTAGTGTGGTTCAAGGAGACAGTGAAGGCCTCCTCCATTTCTGGTTTTCAGTGAACTCATCCAAACAGCTCACCAGCACACAGAGGCAGGCAGACCTCTGTGAGCTACAGTTTAGTCTGGTCTACACAGTAAGTTCCAGATGAGTCAGGTCTACACAGTGAGATTCTGTTTCAAAGAAAAAAAAAAGAGTATTTTGGGAGACTGAGGAGACGGCTCTGTGGATAAGGGAACCAATGTGTATGCTTCATCTGGGTCCCCACCATCCCTGTAACAAGCTTGCTAGAGCCACACATGCCTGTACCCCAGCACTGGGGGCAGAGGGAAAATGTGACTTGGTGTCAGGTAATCATCATTCTGATGAAGAGCATCCACTGTAGTGAAATTGCTACACAGGAATAGTATGTGAGTAGTAAAATTGCTACATAGGAATAGGATAATAATAAAATTAAGGCCAGAAAAAAAATAAGATAAACTAAGAAGAACCAAGCAGAAATTCTGCAGATAAGAACTAAGTAATTGTGTTCATTAAAATTTACTAAACAGTCTCAACAAAATACACAGCATAGCAGAAGAAATCTATAAACAGCCGAATTACCCTTCCAACACAAAGTGAATATAAAGGCATTCTCAGATAAAGAATTTATGGCTAGCAAGCCTGCCTCATAATAAATACTAAGGAAGTCTTTTCAGAGTAGAAAGGAAGGGTTGAAAAATTGCTGGTTTAGAGGAAGGATATCAGACATGAAGGCCAGAGGGAAAGAAACTATGTCATTCTATATCCTTTTCATCAGATGGCTTCTGCCTGCACTGAGTGAATTGGATACAGCCTCCCAGCAGTATTTGAATATGAAGTCTAGAAGAAATGGTTTCCTATTTCAAACAGTTCCATGCGTGCCTTGTGCCCAAGGGCTGGTAACAAGTCTCAGTGTGGCATTCTTAGCCACATTGTGAGGCACGCACCTTCTGGAACAGATACCTTCAAAACGTCCTTCCCCCAGTTTTAGCATCAACACTGCACAGAAAGATTAGCATTGCCACCGGCATTTCTGTCTGTCATTTAGGTTTCTAAAGTGTGTGCTGTATGCACTTAAACTGAGGATGCCCAGGACTGCATTAAACTCTTCCTTAAGCATGCTTAGGAGTGTAGTGAACTCCTACACTGAGCATACTCTGAATCCTAGAGCCTTCCCCCACAGAGGATGCTCAGGAACAGATCCACACATCTACCCACATGAACAGGCTCCCTGAGTAGAAACCCCATGCTTTATTTATTGGAGGGTACAGTCTCCTAAATTTGATACCCATGCTCTCCTCACCTCCTTCAAGTAATAAACTTTTCTATTCTCTTTTGTATCAACCCTGATTATTTTGTCTTTGACTCACCGCTGCGAGAGTCCTATGTAGCCCGCCCCACACAACAGGTACCAGCCACACTGTCCTCTACTGTACTGCATCTGTCATGTCACCTGCAGGGGCTAAGCGGGCTGTGGCTCCAGCAGAGCAGTGAAAGTCATGCAGGAGAGATGGATGCCCTAAGTCCCCCATACTCATATTAAGTGTCCTGGGGAGGGGGACAAGAGAACAGCCCTTCCTCGGGAGATTAAATCCAGAGGACAGGCACAAGTGGGTGTTGACTTCTCAAGACTCAGCTGAAACAGTCTTAGCCTGTTCAGGAAGTTTGCTGGAGCATCTGCCAGGGAAGAGAGGACATGACCTTTCTGCCTTGTAAAAATGTAAATGGGGCAAAGGGTCCTGGTTCCCATGGGTGGCTCACCTGATGGTGGTCACGAGTCCAGAACATGATGGAAACATAGGTCGGGGCTGGGATGATGGCACCATGCTTAACCAGCTTGACCAGAGTAGCATAGTTGGTGTTGTGGGAAGCTGAAGGAGCAGGAAGCGTAGCTAAAACCCAGCAACTGGATGAACGGTGCAGGAACTTGGTGCTCTGGCCTGGCTCCTTCCCCTGGGAGCCAGCCATGCTAGGCTGATCTCTGCTCCTCGCCGTTTCAACAACCACAGAGACGGGCCCTTTCTCTTTTACCACTTGAAAGGAGAAAGACACAGGAAAGAGACTGTGAGTGATTTCAAACTGCTGCACTTTCTCAGTACTGAGTAGCCCTGAGCAGCATCCCCTAACTCTTGCTGGAAATGCATTCTGGACCAGGAAAGGCCATTACCCAGGCCAGGTGGAAGAGAGGTGGCAAAGCTCTCCTCGGGAATCTGAGTATGAGTAATCCTGAGGGACTGATCAGTGTGAACGAAGCCCAGAGACTGCGGCTTCCTCTACCTGATCACAGAATGTTATCTTTATACTGAGAAGGCCAGGAAAGCAAACTCTGCATACATGCCATACAACCTAAGTCCTTAGGAGACTGTGAAACACATCGGCAGGCTCGACCATGCTCCGTGTGTGTTCAATGTGTCTGACAGCAAGCTTGCTTTCTTACTGAGCAGAAAGCATGTGACAGTATTGACAGGACAAGCACATACATGGACACTGCCCCTTGTCACTGCCCAACAGAAATTTCTGGAAGACACTCCCTTTCTACCTGTCCCACATGAGTCCTCAGATATGAGGACCAGCAGGGCAAACACTGCTGACACCTCCACACACAGCTGATGGTCACACACACGGCTAGACATTCCTGTTGGATACCACCCAACTGCTGCTGGCCCACTACACTGCTAGGAATGGAGCTTTGAGGCAAGAAGAGAAAGGCTCATCAGAGGGTATGCACCAAGTCCTGAAACAGCAGTGGACACAAGGTGGTCCTTGTGGTGGGTCTGGGGTGGGTTGTTCAGCAGGGCCTAATTCTTAGGTATCTATATGTGACAATGACCGGGGGTGTCCAACCAGATCTGATACCTAGCAGTGGATGTAAGGTAGCTGTAGGCACTGGAGGGTGTGCCCAGTAGGGTCTGATACCTAACAGTGGGTGTAAGGTGGACAGTGTCCAATAGCGTCTGATATCTACTGTAAATGGGACAACTTGGGCAGCTTGCTGAATGAGTTTATATGGGGAAATAGCAGGAGAGTGTCCAGCAAGACTTAAAAACTAGTCAAGTATGCAGATGGCAATGACGGGGAAAGGGGAGAACACGTGTCCCACAGGGCCTTTCCCTGAACACTGTGTGGGAAGCAGGTCCATTGGTTCCTGATACCATGCATGATACAGTGGTCAGAAGGAATGGTGTCCTGTGTGGCCTGATTCCTCGAAGTATCCTAAGTTTGGGAGTCAAGTGTCAACAGAACTAAACCTTAGCAGTGCACCTAGAGTGTGAGTCAGGGGTCCAGCAGGCCCAGTTCCTAGCAATCGATGTGAGGTGAGGCATCCAGAAGGATGTGATACCCAACACTGCATGTGGGGTGGGGCACCGTGGGTCTAGCAGCGTAGTCTGAAACATGGCAGAATATTTATGGGTGATGAGGACAGGGAGGGAATGTGTCCAAGACGGCCTGATACCTAGTCCAGTACACGAAGTATGGGTAGGACTCCAGCAGCATCTGTTTCCTAACGGCGCTGCAGAGTGCTGTCCAGTAGGGCCGGGTGTCTACCAGCTTACATGGGGTAGGGACCAGCAGGGCCTGATTCCTGGAAGGATTCTGTGCCCAGGGATGCAGCAGGAGTTGATGTCTTCCAGTGCATGTGGCCTGCCAGGGAAGGGGGTTGAATACCTAGAAGTTCATGACCCCTGCTCTCCCATGCTGCTGCCCCCCACATAAAGGCAACTTTCAGGCAGTGTTAGACACACCCATCTAGCATCCCATATAAACTTAAAAGTGTGGACAGCACACAAGACTGGCTATACCACTTACTATCCTGGGTGACAGACAGTGTGGCCTCCCTGACACCATCTGAAAAACACAGCTAGTTATGAGACCCCACTAAACACCCCGACAAGTGTCTATATTCAGATCCTTCTGGACATCCCCCACCATCTACAGCACAAACACTGAGGTTTGAAGCCCTGGGAAACATCCCCTCCACTACCAAACACAGCTACTGCGTACCAGGTCCTGCTGGACCTCCCTCCCCCCATTGCTTGGCAAGGGTGCCCCTGTACACATTGCTATTTTTCAGGCAAGAATAGCCACCCAAGGCCACCTTCCCACTTAACTTTTAGTTATTATTTCTTCCTAAACACCCCTTCCCTAAGGACACCACTGCACACACAGCACTAGGTATCAGACCCTACTGGAAATTCCAAATACACCGTCACACAGCTTGACCTAAAGGACACTGTGTTGACACTGCACATAGACAGCTTGGTATTAGGACCTTCTGAGCCATCCCCTAACTCCCTATACCCATGAGACACCCTACTCACCCCCACTGCTGGCCAACACACACTGTTTTAAGACCCTGATGGATACCTCCTGATGCTGCCCATATAAACTTCAAGGTATGAGACCCTGCAGGACGATATCCCTGCCAAGAGTCACTACACCATGGTCAATGCTAGGTACCAGAGCCCATGAGACATCCTTCCACCCCCACAGCCATTAAACACAATTACCAAGCACTGCTGGACATGCTCCCCTGGAAATAACCCACAGACATCGCTAGGTCCAGGCCCTGCTGGACACCACAGCCCCACATACACTAGCAGGTATGACACCTCCTATAGACCTCTGATCCATGCAACTCCCCCTTTGGGGGTCACATATCAGATGTCCTGTATATCAGATATTTACATTATGGTTCATTAACTGTAGCAAAATTACAGTAATGAAGTAGCAACAAAATAATTGTATTGTTGGGGTCACCACAACATGAGGAAGGGGTCACAGCATTAGGAAGGCTGAGAACCACTGCACTAAACTATTGGGAATCAGGTCCTGCTGAATACCCCATCCTCCTGACACCCCACATACAGTGCTGGGTACCACACGCTTCAGGATATATACAGTTGCTCATCTTGTTCTGTGTATCAGGTCCCTAGTCAACACCTACTTTCACTTAACACATTAGTGTAAGACCCTGCCCGGCACTGTGTCCCACCGGTATGTGGGTGGTTGGGGGCTAGGTGTGACCAGTGGGCTCTAACAAGTAGAAAAAGTGAGATGGCAGCCTAGGGACAAGGTGCCGTCAGTTCCTTATATGTAGCAGTGTGTACGATATGATGCTGGAGTGCCCAGAAAGTTTAGATGGGGAGTGGACAGACAGGGTCCTGTGTAGCCTGACCTAAGAAACAGTCTGTTTGGGATTTTGTTTTTGTTTTGCAGAAATGGAGTAGCTTGTCCAGAGTCTGATGTCCAGTACAGTATATGGAGCAAGGGAGAGAGCACAAAGTGGCATCCACCAGGGTTTCATTCCCCACAAAACATGTGCAAAGATGCTGACAGTGTGGGGTTTCCAACACCAGCATTCAGGGGGCAAAGCTGCAGGTGCAGCTACAGTGCCCGATACCTGTGTATATGGGGATGTGAGGGGCGATATAGCGGTGCCTAATATCTAGAAGGTACATTCTCTGCCATAATCCAAAATAGACCCCTACCACCCTAGGTTCACATTCACAGCTAGGTAGGCCCTGAAGCACTCCACACACACACACACACACACACACACACACACACACACACACACACCAGGTCCTGTCTGATAATACCAACCACCACCACCACCACCACCACCACTGCTCCATGCACACTATTAGCATACGACCCCCTGCTGGACACCTCCCTGGTGCCCTACAAACACTGTTAGGTATCAAGCCCTCCTGGACACTTCCCACATACACCTACTATGTGTCAGGTCCTGCTGGACCGAGACAGCTCCCAACTACTGCCACCCAACATACGCTGTTTGTTCTTAAGACACTGCTGGACAAAGAAACAAACTTGGTATCTGGTGCTTACTCCACCACATGCCTCACTAAATACCAACCCTGCCTGCTGCTAAAGGCACCCATGCACTACTAGGTATTGAACCCTCCTGGATACCGCTTCCCCAGTCACTAAAGCCTGAAACATACTGTGTGGCTTGAGGCCTTGCTGGACACCCACCCTGCAACCCCTGCCCTGCATGTGCTACCCTCTATCGAATCCTTCTGAACCCTCCAGTCCAGATCCATATTTTGCTCATAAGCCCTTCTTCCTCCACCCGCACTGCTGCCCCAAAGCACTTCTAATTTCCAGTTGTACTGAACACCCACCGCCACTGCCTACTAGTGTATATGGACAGTAGAATGGTGAGGTGTCGAGAAAGTCTGATCCTAGCACTGTATGTATGGCTGTAGCCTGCACTGGCAAGCAACTTGGCTGAGACACAGTTTTTCTGTGGCAGCGGATATCTAGCAGGGCCTGGAAAAGTAGCAGTGTATGCTGGGCAGATGTGCACACAGGAAGGAGGTGTGTGTCTATCCTGGTCTGAACCTAGCATGTCGTGTGGGATGGAAGCTGACACAGAGCCCTGTATGTGCCACTGCAGCAGCCGTGGCCGTAATGTCCATTACGGCCTGACGACCAGCTTTAGGGCCTGATACACAGCACATTTTGAGGCTGGGGGGGCGGACACAGCAAAACCTGAAGCTTGGTGATGTAGGTCGGGTATCACCAGAGGAAGGGTGGCCTGCTGGGCCAATCCCCGGCAATTCTGTGCAGTGCAGCAGGAGGAGACGCTTCCAACACACTCTGATAACAGTTTATGATGGGTGGGGCGTTAAATGGAGCCTGATACCTAGAAGTGGATTTGTGGGGTGTCCAGCAGGCCTGATACCACTGTGTATTATTGGGGAGCAGTAGAGGAAGTAGGAAGTAGGTGTTATAGTATATGTTAGGTGGTGGAGATGAAGGGGTGTCTATCAAGGCCTGATAAGTAATACTGTAGTAGGTTGGGGGTGTTTTCAGGAAAGCCTCATTAACAGTGTTGGGGGACAGTTGAGTATGCCCACCAGGGTCTCAGACACAGCAGCAAGGTGAGGGTGTATGCTGTAGGAACTCGCCTAGCTTTGTACGCTCAGCAGTAGGACTGAGGGAGGGGACGTTCAGCAAGTTTATACAGGTTGGTGTCATGGGGTATCCAGCAGGGCCTGACACAGAGCAGCATCGGTGGGTGACAGGTAAAGGAGTGTCCAGCAAGGCCCGATAACTAACACTGTAGTAGGTCAGTGAGAGCGGCTGATATCCAAGCCGGTCCTGGCAGAGCAGTGAATACACGCTTCAATAGTGTGAGGCTGTCAAGCAGGGCCCACTAAGGACAGTGTGTTGTGGGTACAGTGCAGGGAGTATCCAACATGGGTGGATGCCTACCTGTTAACATGGGATGTTTGCAGGGGTTATTTAGGATCCAATACCCAGAAATACATGTGATGTATAGATTGGGGGCTTGTCCAACAGGGCCCAATACCTACCAGTTAATGTGGAGGTTAGTGGGAAGTCATGAATGGACCAATACTTAGTGGATTTGAGGCAATGGGAGGTTGTTCAGCAGGGCCTGGCACCTAGAAGCACAAGTAAGGTAGCATGGCAGTGGTGTTCAGCAGTGCATCTGCCTGGTGATATATGTCAGAACATGAGGTGTCCAGCAGTAAGCTAGCAGGTTATATGGGTCATGGACAGGAGTGTCCAGCGGGGCTTGAGAACTACCATTGTATCACAGGCAGCATTGGGGCTTGAGGTTATCTAGCAGGATCTGGTACCTTATGTATGGGACAGCAGAAGAGATGCTCTCTACCCAGGCCTTCTATCTAGAAATCTACATAGTGAGTACCCTACACATCCTTAAACTAACATTGTATGTAGGCTGTTAACATGGGGGTGCAAGCACAGCACACACACATTTCTAGGTACCAGGCCCTGCTGCTCACACCCTCCCACTGTAACTGCCAACATAGTGCTATGATCAGATCCAGCTGGATGGCCCATCTCTGTCACACACCACACATCATACCACAACCTTTGAACTCCTGCCCAGGGGTGACTTTGATGGTCAGGCCAAAGTCACATAGTCTGACACTTCCTTTGCCATCCAGCAGGATGCTGTCTGGTTTGATGTCCCTACGTGTAACACTGTTCTCCTGGCAGTAGTTAACGGCACGCACCATCTGTGTGAAGATGCGGTGGGCCTGCTCCTCCTGTAAACAGCCTACCTTCTCAATGTGACTCACCACATCTCCCCAGCAGTATGATGCAGAACAGCCTGATGATGTCTGGGTGGTCCAGCACCTAAGAGTGCTGACTTTAATCCTGTCGTCAGGGTCATGTTTCTCAGTCTGCACCTCTGTAAAGCTGCTATTGCCTTGGGTCCTGAGGAAGATACAATCATCCATAAGAGTCATCTCTAGGAAGACCTGGCCTCCAGGTCCAGCTACATCGTCTCCCCCCTCTTCTTTGGCCTGCAAGTTGCTTGAGAATCTACCCTAACACCAACTGACAAAAGCACACTAAAGACAATGAGAAACAGGGCTAGGAGGAGGCTTATAGCTTTCAATTGCTATATGAAAGAGTGAGAGGGATGTGAGATGGTCTCACAACGCAGGCCACGGTCACAGGAAAATAAGAACTAAATCCCAAAGCAGTAGCTGCTAAAACAAGCTGAAGATGAGAGCTGACCCTAATGCAACAGGTGATAAAGAGCAAAACAAAAGCTTGGTTATTGGAAAGGAAGATCAAAACTGACCCCCAAACTAATCAAATGAGAAGAGACAGAGTCAAACCAGAGACAAATGAAGGTGATATTATAGCATGGCTCTAAGAACCTTTAGGACTGATTTAGAAAACCTATACTGCAATAAATTGTAAAACAGGGAGAAAAAGACAAATTTCTAAATGTGTATAAAATGTCTGAATTGAATAGGTCAATAACAAGCAATGAAACTGAGAGATTTCGACTATCAACAAAAAAGCCAAGGCCAAACATATCCGTGGATGACATCTACCAGACATTTACAGAGGCATTAACAGTAATGTTCCTCAAAGAATTCCATAAAAATAGAAGGGGAGGAACACTTCACAACATGTCCTACGAAGCCCGTGTTACTCTGGAACCAAAACTAGACACAGAGAAAGCAGGCAGCCTCGGTGGGCACGGCTGCTCACTGCCAGACCTGAGGACCCGAGTCTCACTCCTGGAACTCACATGGCGGAAAGAGAGAACTGAGCCCACACTATGTCCTCTGACCATCACATGGATGCAAACAGAATCTTATAAAATCTGAAATACCATGAAACTATTATGCAGCAATATTTTGATGTAATCGACGTGACAAACCTGAGGTTGCTTGATACTTCACACTAGTTCAACAACACATTTAAAGGCCATGTCCATATCAAGAGAAGTTCATTCAAGAACAGCAGCTCAATTTGGAATATACTGATAAAGCATACAAAGAGTATACAAGGCAAAATTGCACCTACTCTTAAGAATGACATTTTTGTCATTTTCCAGAAAAGAGGGGGAACTAAAGGCGATAGTTTTATGTGTGACAAGCCAAGTCTGTAACGACAAATACAGCTTTTTTTTTTTTTCTCTCGTATGCAGAATCTGGAGGCTTGCGGGAGCTTGAACATAAAGGGGGGACCACTAGGGACATGAAAGAGGGCAGGGTCTGTTTCCCTCCGATGGCCTAGAGTGCTGGGCAGGGGCTAGGTGTCTCAGTCAACCGCACAATCCAGAAACGGCTGCACAGAGTCCTGGGTGATTCAGAATCCAGACTCCAGCAGCCCTGAGTTCTCCATTAACCAGGCAGTAGAAAAAGGGTCAATACCTGAAACCCAAACCAAAGCGGTTCGGACATGCAGAGACAGCAAGGTGAGGGCCCCATGAAAGGAAGATTACTGACTGAAGACAGCAGCAGAGCAAACTGTACCCGGGTGTCGAGTAGACCGGGAGCACGTCTCTGGAAATCATGGCGTCACACACCGCCTTGGCGAACCGTTTCTGTAGTCCCTAACAAACCGCCACCAACTGTCTCAACCACCTCGCACCAACTGTTAAGTACTCATCTGTGGACCTGATTGGTCACATGTCCAGAACTAAGCCAATAAGACAGGCTAGCCAACCAGGACCCTCCTGACCGGGCGTGCTGGAATCATGTGACCTCTTTGCAGCGAGGAAGCGCGCCTCTAAGGCAGGTGCGGAACTCCTGCCCTGGCAAGGTTAAGGAAGGAGCAAGGGGTTTTTGCATGCTCTGTGTTTTCTTTCCCAGGATTGCCAGCTAGGGTGCACCTCCCCTACCCACTGCCTTCTGTCCCCTGGAGGACTCATTTCTGAAAGTCAGATTTGGGGTTTGCTCCCAGCTTCTGTTCCTCCCTGAGTAGAAAGGACCATCAGTGTTACTCAGCCAATAAATGTTTACTGCTCACTAGGGATCACCTGCTGAGCCCAAGGGGCCAACAAGACTGATGGTCTGAAACAAACAGATCAAGGAGCCTGCGTCTGTGTCTAGAGTGTCACGACTTCTTTCTCAGCTGTAACAACTTCCCCCAATTATTCATAATTTCTCCTGTAATCTTGGAGAATACTTTCAATCACTTGTTGAACTAGTCCTCATAGTGCACTTTCTGTGCTGCCTCGGTATCACTACCAACCTTCGATTTGGGTTTTTTTTCCTAATTTAATAATTATATATAATTTTGAGAACTTCATACACAGGACCTGCATCTCCATCGCTCATGCGCCTCCCCCTCTTGCACCTCGCCTTCTCCCACACCATGATCTCCTTATTGTTACAAATGTATATGTATATAAGTACAGGGTCTTACCTTCATGTTCTGGGAGGCAACAAAGGGCAGCAGCAATAGCCCATTCTGTTTGGATTTCTCTTGGACTCTTCTAACCAACGCCACAAAGGAAGATTTCCCTGGCACCAGGATTTCTTTAATCTATGGCTCTTGGGAGGATCATTATCATGCCAAGTGGCATAACTTCATTTAAATTATGTATGCACTTGCACACACAAATGTGTATGTGTTTTGTCAATAATCTGTTTCCTTTCAAAGGCCCCTGTCTCTCTGAAGGGTGAGCTGTGCACCTGCCAGAGATACTCACTTAAGATCTTGCCTTGATTGAAGGCTTTGCCCACATTCTGGGAAAAGGACCAGGCTCCACTTTTTGTTCTGTATATGATCATAGCCCACACGCCAACCCATACTCAGCAGAAAGGCAACCTCTCACCCTTGGAAGACTCACACCCCAGAAGTGGAGCTGCTAGAGGTGGTGGCCGAGAGGAAAACCCTGGCAAAGGCATTCTTCCCAGCTTCTCCAATTGCTCGGGCCCTCCAGTGACAAAGCTGCAACTCGTGAAGGCCCAGAAAATGCTTCAGAAGGGCAGTAGTGAGCTACCACGGGGACCAGTCGTCCTTATCAAAGATGGCAGTGCCATAGAGAGGGTGACTTCATGGGAGTGCTTGCACTTAAACTCACCAACACAAAGTTCACTTGGGCAGGAGCGTGAAGGAGGCCTCGGGCTCAGCAGCCTGTGCCTGCTAACAGTTGCCCATCTTCTCGGGAGCTGGGAAGGTGGCCCTTTCCCCCCCAGCCTGGGACTTCAGCTTTTCTTCTTTTGAACCTCCCTCTTTACATGGCTATCCATGTTAACATGGCTCTCTGCCAGCTTCTTAGCTTCAAGCTGGGCCATCTTCTCACAGCTTCACTGATCCCAGGGCATCTTGAACAGGGGCTGGTGAATGCAGGCGAGGAGCCAGCAGTTGGTACTGTGGAAGGCCTGGAAAGAAGAAGAAGACTCGAAGACTCAAAAAGAAGGGTCATAGAACCACAATGAGATGCAGAGAATCATGAAGCCAGCTAGAGTCACCTGTTTGTGCACCAGAAAGGTCCTGGGCTTCAAGTGAGTGACCAGCAGCCAAAGGATTGCCCTCAGCTCCTCCTCTGCCCCTTCAGTGGACTGTATTATGTAGCGCGATGCTCAAGGTGGAGACACCGAGGTGTTGACTGGACGAATAATGGCACATCAGCAGCGCCCACCCACTGTACATCTGAGCTGCTGCCTGCTGCTCCCTCTGCTCAGGTAATGGGTGATGACATTGCTCTCAGGCACACAGAGTTCATTATCATCCTTAAGATCCTTAATCTTGCCTACAGAAAATTTGTGAAAAATATAAGGGCTTCTGTTGGCTGGCCAAAGTGGAAGGGGGTGGTGTGGAGAACACATGGAACCCTGCTATTCTGAGCAGCAATGAGGACCATGACAGCTGTGAGTTTCAGAATGTGTGTGCAGGGTGCACAGAGAGAGGGGCGGGGCTGACTGTGCTTCCGGAAAGTTATCTATGTCTCCATAAGTAAACATAGAATAATGTTTCCCTGTAGCTTTTTCTATCATCTTTGTGGTGTTCTCCCCCAGTGTTCCCCTCCCTCCCCATACCCAGAAAATGTAACTTCCCCCTCCATATTTTTTTTTCTATTTCCCCTTTTAGGTACCTGTGTCCTACTATCCTCCTTCCCCCCACTCCCAGTCCTTGTTACTTTTTTGTCTTCTGTGGTTATTCCACGTTGATTTCTGTCGTTACTCCACGCTGTTTTCTGTGGTTACTCTACATTGTTTTCTGTGGTTACTCTACTTGATTTCTGTGGTTACTCCACGTTGTTTTCTGTGGTTACTGTGTGTTGATTTCTGTGGTTACTCCACGCTGATTTCTGTGGTTACTCCACGTAATATTCCCACACCTGGAATTCTGGAAGAAGGATTGACAAATACAGAGAACATACAGTGATTGCCTTTCTGAACTTGAATCAACTGACTCGGGATCATATCTGCCAGTTCCACCATTTACTTGAAACGTCACCATTCCATTCTTCTTTACAGCTATACAGAACTCCATTGTAGCCAGGTTTTCCTTATCCATTCATCAGTTGAAGGATATTTCTTTTCCCCCCATAGGGTGACAATGAAAATGACATGGCAAATATCTGTGAAGTAGATGGCCACTCTATGGGCATATATCAGTGAGTGGTTATAGCTTTGTCATATGTAGGGTTAGTTTTAGCTTTTTGAAAGTTCTCCACATTGACTTGTAGGGTTACTGCACTTTGGCATCTATTTTGTTTTGTTCAAGAAGGATTTCATGTACCCCAGGCTGGCCTCCAGCCTGCTTTGTGGCTGAAGCTGGCCTTGAACTCTGGTCATCCTGCTGCTGCCTCTCAAGTGCTAGGATTTTAAGGGAAGCACCACTATTCCCTACCACCATATGCTATTAAATGTGATTGTTTCAGAGAGGAGGAATTCAGCGGTGGGCAGAAGGGTTAGAGGGTAGCCTGGGCACAAAAGGACACTCAAAACAAAAACAACATTCCAGGCTGAAGTACCTCCAACGGTTGCCAACAGACATGAAGCCATGTATTTCATTCTGTGCACCACACATATCATGCTTGGCAGCACCTGTAAGCCCAGTTCTCACAGGAGACAGGAAGAACAGAAGTTCAAGGTCATCTTCAACTACATAGAGAGTTTAAGGTCAGCCTGTGGTACATGGAGCCCTGTCTCTAAATAAATGTCCTTACACAAGTATATAAAATCATTGAGGATGACTGTGTCAGATTAGTCTGAGCACCCTTCTCTGAGGTAATGGGGCAACTCACTGGCACAACTCCTACCTATTGTGAATGAGATGACACCTTAGATTTCCCAACATCTAGGAGAGAGGGCTGGGTAGACAGTGATAAAGGGAGGCCTTCATATGGCAATTGTTGTGGTTACTTTTAGCACCGTGGATTACTCATTTAATACATTTATAAAATTAAACAAAGGATATCATTAAACAGTCCTTTAACAATGAACCTGCAAAATACGTGAACATTTAATGTAACTACGTGTCAAGTTGGTTCCATTTTGGAATTAAGGAGAATGTAGCACTAGCGTCCATGACTGAGACTCTATTTTAATTTTATATCTGAGGCTGAGGCTGTAGCTTGTGGTAGAGCACTACTTAACACACATGGAATCCGGGGTCCAATCCTTGTACCAAAACAGAACAACAACAAGAGTGGTGTTTGTGTATCCTGCTGCTGAATGTACTGTGTGTTCATGGCTTAGCAGGTGGCAAGCTCACCTTCTGTCCTCTCAGCGGAAGCTCCTTCCTCCCACTTCTTCAGGGGGTTGCTACCACTCCACCTGGGTTCACAGAACGTAAAGCAAACTGTCACATGATCCCCAGGGCACTCAAACTCTGTTCCTCCAGTGAGAAAAGCCTCCCAACTGCCTGGGATACTTCTGGCTGCAGAGGTCACAGCCTTTTCATTTCCAAACACTGTTATGAGGAAGGACTCTGTCCCTGCAGCAGCTCAAGTGGTTGAGCCGAGTAAAGCTATCCTCACAGAAGACTTCCCAGGTGCCTGCCTTACCCTCCTCGCTCCCAGCATCCCTAGAGGTTTTCCTGAAGTTTCTTTCCTCTTTTTATTGCCTTATGTCCATCTCCCTTATATCAGCACCAGGTCTGAACCTCACTGGCATCTTTGGAGGGTGTCCCTCTAACTCTCAGCGCCTCCTGCTGCTTGGCAGGAAGTAGTGCATCTTGAAACGATTAAAAACAAAAAACAAAAAAAAACAAAAACAAAAACAAAAAACTCGAACAAGACAAAAGGGGCTAGAAAGCCTCACCAGAGGCACTATAGATGGCAGACACATCGTCCTCTCGGAAATGCGCTGGTAGAGGCAGAAGTGCTCCATTCTCCCTCCCCCCCACTATAGGTCTCTAGATGTGATGACAGTAGCCGGGCAGGAGCCATGAACATTTCATTCCTGTTGGATGCATCTGGAGCTCCCATTGCCGGCAGACCTTTTTGCATGACCCTTAGGCCTGACACACAGTAGAGTCAACCAACATGTATGAACTATCAAAGGCAGCAGGAACTGTCACTGTGTCCCCAGGATTTTCTGATACCTCATTATAAACCTGGGGTCACTCAATGTAATGAAAGACTGCTCCCAGTAGGTTTGGCCCTCATTTTTAGAAAGATCCATATACAGAATTCCTTTCCAGGCAAGGTGTAGCCTCAGAACTCTGAGGAAAGAATCTCTAACAGGTCTGGTTCTCAGTCAAGGGTTCTAAGTGTTGGATCTTCAGACTATCATGGTCTCAGATTGCCTTCTTCAGAGCTTAAGGAAGGCTGAGAGAGTGGTGGCGGGGTGGGGAGATGCTTGGAGACTCATTCTCCCTATCTTTCTCTTTGATTGGCAGGTAGTAGGGATATGTACTCTTGGTACCCCTAGCAGGCAGAGCTCTGGCATCATCAGCGCTGGCTGTTAGTTTGGGATTCTTAGTCACACTCTCTAGGCCAGAAAGTCAGAGGCCAAATGAGTCTGCTGTAAGGGGCTAGATGCGGAGCTATAATTCAAGAGGCCTGAGGTGAATCTTTCCCCTACTCTGGACCTGATTTCTCTTGATAAATGTGGCATAGAAAGGAAGACCAGAATCTTCTAGAGCATCAGTGCTCTTGCCCAGGACTGCCCTGGCCCTGGCCAACCCAAGGCAGAGAGCTGGGGTCCTCCAGGGCTATGCTAATACTTAGGCTCAGAACACTGCTGGAACTCTCTGAGGGTGACCAGAGGCATGGCGCTCCCTACACTAGGACACCTCCAGGCCTCTTCTTCATATCTCAGTTCATGAAGAGAGATCTCTGTGCATTGACATGGAACCCAAAGGGTCCAGAATTTTGTTCAGAAGAGCAAAAGAGTGCATTTAGCAGAGGTGGGGTCAGGAAAATATTGCTGTATATCTAGAGGTTATAATCAAGAAGGCTCTTTACTTTCCTGACATCTGAGGACAACTGGTAACCTGGGGTAGTCCATGAAGGGTGACACCTTTTCCACATGTGTGGATGCACTTCCTGTTCTCGTCAGCAGGCATTGGTCCCTCTAAGACTAGAGAGCAGATCTTTGATGTGGGAAGTCCTTATGTATATGTGTTGCTTTTATTGGTTAACAAATAAACTGCTTTGAGCCTATATAGCAGGGCAGAACAGAGCTAGGTGGGGAAAACTAAACTGAATGCTGGGAGAAAGAAGGCAGAGTAGAGAGAAGTCATGTAGCCCCACCAGAGACAGACGCTAGACAGAGCCTTGCCCGTAGGCCACAAGTCTCATGGTAAATATAAACTAATAGAAATGAGTTAATTTAATATATAAGAGTAAGCCAGAAATATGCTTAAATGATTGGCCAAGCAGTGATTTAAATAATACAGTTTCTGAGTGGTTATTTCGAGTCTGGATAGCTGGGAACAAATGAGCAGCCTCCAACAACAAATCCTATCTCCTGGCCTGTCCCATGCTCAGTCCACAGTGCTCTGGAAGAAGCTCCAGCTACACAACAGCCTATGGATTCACCAGACTCTGATGGACACCTCCATATCACCACCACATACAAACCTCTAGGTTTCAGGCCTTCACCGCTCATACCCTGACTTCTAGAGGTGTGGTGAAATAGAAGCAGCGTGGTAGGATTCAGGGGGGCCTCCTACCTAACAGAGTATGTGGGCTATAGTGTGACTCAGTGTGCAGTGTATCGGCACCAGCTGGAACCCCACTGCAACCCACATAAAATGCTGGCTATCGGGCACCATTACACTCCTTGCCACCATGTAAACTTCTAGATATCAGGCCCTCTGTCCTTCTACCCCATTCTACAGTCACTGCTAGATCTCAGCTTATTAGATAACCACCTCCTCTTCTGCTGAAAGCTCACATGCCGTTACGTATCAGGCCCTGTGCTACCCCAACCCCCAGCCTGTACTCACTGCTATTTTTTTGTACAACCTCACAGAGCCACCTGGGCATCAGTTCCTCTAGCATATTCCATCACCACCACCACACCTCTAGAACTCATTCCCTGCTGGACATTCCCACCCACGCTGTCCAGTCCCACATACACTGCTAGGTCCAGGTATGAGATCTTGATGGGCAATCCCCTGGAGCCCTACATATACTGCTGTGGTATGAGAGGTCCTTTTGTCTATGTGTTGCTTTCATTGGTTAATGAATAAAGAAACTGGCTTGGCCTGATAGGGTAAAACAGAGTTAGGTGGGGAGAAGCTAGGCTGAATGCTGGGAGAAAGAGTCAGAGAGAAGATGTGGAGCTGCATGGGCAAGAACATGCTCGCCAGAGATAAATGTGCTGAAACTTTGCTGGTAGGCCACAACCTCACAGTGATGCACAGATTAATGGAGATGGGTTAAATTAAGATGTAAGAGTTAGCCAATAAGAAGCTAGAGCAAATGGGCCAAGCAGGGATTTAAATAATACAGTTTTCGTGTGAGTATTTCGGGTCTGGGTGGCCAGGATAAACAAGCGGCCCTCCTCCAACACTGCTACATGTGTCAGGTCCCACAGAACTATCCCCTTTCCCTCCATCACATACATTGTATTTTGTATTAGTCCCTCACCATTGCTAGCCAAGCTACAGTGACATTATTTAAGCCATGTTGGAGTCCCATTTGCTAACCTCCCATTGAAACTTACAGATATCAGGCTTTGCTGAACAGCACCCCAGGCTTCCATATCACATACAGTGCTACATATCAGAACCACCTAGAAACTGTCACCCCTTTTACCACCCCACAAAGACTACTAGGAATCATTCCCTACTGGACACACATGGGCCATTGTCATATATGCACATCTAGGCATCAGGCCACGTTGCTCCTGATGCCAAAACGACATGTGTGCTGCTGTGTATCAGGCCTTGCAGGGCACACCTTCCCTGGAATCTGCAAATCCAAACACTGCTTGGTAACAGGTCACACTGCACCTCCATCCCTGGCCAGCATTCAGTGTCACATGGACTCAAAGGATGATGTTCACACCCTGCCAAGGAGATACACATATATCCATGATGACTGTGGAACTATTCACAATAGCAAGACAATTAGGTAAGAAAATCATTTACCTAAATGATTCTGTTAGTTTGCTAATTTAAAATTTTAACATGAAAAGAAGCAAGCCTGATGGTGGTGGCACACACCTTTAATTCTGGCACTAAGGGGGCAAAGGCAGGTAGATCACTGAGTTCGAGGGCAATCTGATCTACAGAGCAAGTTCCAGGACAGTTAGGGCTACACATATTTGATGGAGGAGGGCTAACTGTCTATGTGTTACTTTCATTGGTTAATAAAGAAACTGCCTTGGCTTTTGATAGGACAGCAGCTTAGATAGGCGGAGTAGACAGAACAGAATTGTGGGAGAAAGAAAGGAAGAAGGGAATGAAGCAGTCGCCATGACTCTCCTCTCTGAGACAGCTGCAGGTTAGAATCCTCCTGGTAAGCCACCACCTCGTGGTGCTACACAGATTATTAGAAATGGGTTAGATCAATATGTAAGAGTTAGCTAATAAGAGGCTACAGATAATGGGCCAAGCAGTGTTTAAAAGAATACAGTTTCCGTGTAATTATTTCGGGTAAAGCTAGCCGGGTGGCTGGTGGTGGGAAGCAGCCCGCAGTTCCTTTTACACATATTAAAAAAAGAAAGAGGAGGAAGAAGAAAAGGAAGAGGAGGAGAAGAGGAGGAAGAGGAAGAGGGGAAGCAAAATACTGCTAAGCACTCAAATTATCCTTGAAGGTTTAATTCATATTAGTCACCTGCATTCGTATGAAAAGGTATTGAATTTCATTTTTCATTAGCCTTCTATAGATGAATAAGAATTATCTTATTCTAGATTTTACTGAAAATTGATACTGTTAAATAACAGCAAAACAAATGAAATTTTCATGTCTGAATTGAAGAAAGGTGTGATCATTTTAGTAGTAAATATGAATCTGCAGAAAGAAGATACCCTGAGAGCAACAATCCCTGAGACACAACTCTAGCTCCACAGAGAAGCCCACTGTGATAAAAACTATAAACGTGATGGACTCAAGCAGACATCTTTCAGGAGACAGAGAAATTCTGGGCTCAGGAGCAAGGAACAAAACATGGAGAAATGTTTGTCTCAGACTGTTTCAGCAGGAGGACTTGGAAGGAGGGAGCAGGAAAACCAGGAGGCAGGAGGGTCTGCTGGACTTGAGTCTGGGGCTGTGGCTCCCTCCCTCCTGCCAGGAGCCCTTTGTGATGAGGAGGCCACAGCTGTGTGAGGTGATGGCCTGACAAGCCTGTTGGACTCCCAGGACTCAGTGGCTTGAGAGCCACAGTGCGATTCAGAAGATGGAGAGTTCTCTCCTTCAGCTGAGCAGCATTAGTGACTACTGGATGAGCCCCACCTCCACTATAATGGCCAAGGACATGATCATTGGTGTTATGTGTGGAATGGGGCTCTTCTTCCTACTGATCCCCTTCCTGAAGAAGTACCCAGCATC